TGGGAAGCAGCCGCATAGCACAGGGAGATCAGCTCGGTGCTTTGTGACCACCTAGAGGGGTGGGATAGGGAGGGTGGGAGGGAGACTCAAGAGGGAGGGTATATGGGGATATATGTATACATATAGCTGATTCACTTTGTTATACAGCAGAAACTAACACAACATTGTAAGGCAATATACTCCAATAAAGATGTTAAAAGAAAATGGATGAGAATGACACAGCACATAAAGTAGTCACCATTAAAAATGTGTAAGATTGAAAAATTGTTATTATTTTTTAAAAAAATAGTCTATCTACAAATACTGAGATCATCAAGGATTTGCCAGAGTTGATATCATTTCAAGCAGAGAACGGAGAATTTAATAGTCATCTCTTCTTCTTCTTTCCCTATCTGAGCCTTGAGTTTTAAGAAATTATTTAAATTAACTTCAAAATGTTCTTGTAGACATTAATAAACTCTGACCACATCAATGAATTCCAAAGACATCACTGTTTCCATGGTAACTAATGCACTTCAAAAGGAAAAAACAGAGAGCAAGACTAAAACCCAGGGAAAAAATGAAATAAAGTGGTATACACAAGGCATAACATTTCTCCTTTGCATTTATGGAACACTTTGTAATTTCAGACTCCGAGTGCCAGAAGGATCTCAGAGGTCATCAAATCCACATCCTACTGGAAGCCAGGATTCCCTTTACAATGCAGCTATACAGTGGCTGTCCTCCAACTGCTTACAGAGCTCTCTGCTGGGAAGTTCTCACTCATTCACTTGCAAAGATTACTGAGCACCTGTCTTGCTCTGCAGGTTAAGAGATGATTAAGACATTCTCCCTCTTTTTTCAAATTTTTGCTGTTTAGAAGGCAAATAACTAAAACGGGTGAAAAACGAGGGCTATAATAAAGATACAGGAAGAGTCAAAAAATAATAGAGGGAGTATGCATTTCCAATGACTTTCATTTCCACTCCTCATCAGCCCCACAAATCCATGAGCAATCATATCCTGTACCTTGTCGTGACCCAGGACTGCTCCGACTCTGCAAACTTACACTCCGACATCCACTTTCAGATCACAAACAGCTCCTTTACTCCATAACTAATCCTCCACTAGTCCTATGAGCCTTATGCAGCCCAAGATCCTTCACCTGGAATACTTCCTTGCTGACAGCCTCAACTTTTATCCTTCAGTGGCACCCACCTAACAAAAGTCTGGCTTCTTCTCGTTTAAAAACTTTTCTCTCAAGGATTTCATGATGCTTTAGAGTGAGCTGGACACATGCCTCCACCCTCATCTTACAGGAATGAGAAGCTAAGCATTCACTTAAATGCTGATAGAATGGCTATTATCCTGACCTTGAAGTGGCAGTAAGAAGGATTATGAATTATTTGTTCTCATAATTTTTGGTGGATAGCTCTCTCTAACTTTTCGCTGATTTATAGTTTAAAATCTCATATGAGTAATCTTATGTAGTTATCTGAGTAGGCATTACTTGCATCTCGTTTATCTTGGAGGGCATAATAGGAAATAATACTGTTCAACTAAGTGCTTCATTGAGACAGTTTTCTATCTGAAATGGGCATTTGGTTACCACTGCTTTAAAATTTTTCCAAGCTAAACTTCAAACAGAACACCATGGGGGGTTTTATCACTCATTTATCCTCATACAAAATCAGGCCCTCAAACATTTTCCGACTCTGCTAGTGAGAATACCCTCAGATCAACTAGGAGGTAAGCACACAGGCATCATCTTTTCCAGGGTCTTCAATTTTCATAAGGGCATGTTGATCCATCCAGAGCTCCATGGCTTACTAACTGTGTACAGGTCTGCACTAACTGGCAAGGGAGAACAGGTACTTGTTGAAGAGGATCATCTCAACTCCACTACTCTACAATTTTATACTTTTCAGAAGCTCCCCTGAGATAAAAACATTTACAAAAGCTTCCCTGAGAGTCTATTCATTCTAATACATCATTGGTTCTTATACTGCATCATGCTCTCATTGAAGAATTCTCTCCATACCAAAACAAGCACAACGTGTACAATTTGGTGGGGATGGGGAAGGAGAGAGAATCATGAGACCCTCTGAAGCTAATCCCTGGCTACAGTCTAAAAAGCTCTGCTCTAGGCACAAAAACAGACATACGGATCAATGGAACAGAATAGAGAGCCCAGAAATAAAACCACACACCTAGAGTCAATGAATCTTCCACAAAGGAAGCAAGAATGTACAATGACAATCTAGTCAGCTAATGGTGTTGGGAAAGCTGTACAACTACATGTAAATCAACGAAGTTAAAACACACCCTCACACCATATATAAACATGAACTCAAAATGGCTTAAAGACAAATATAAGACATCACACCATAAAACTCCTAGAAGAGAACATAGGTAAAACATTCTCTGACATAAACTGTAGCAATGTTTTCTTAGGTCAGTCTCCTAAGGCAAAAGAAATAAAAGGAAAAATAAACAAGTGGGACCTAATCAAACTTACAAGCTTTTGCACAGCAAAGGAAACCATAAACAAAATGAAAAGACAACCTATGGACTGGGAGAAAATATTTGCACATGATACAATTGACAAGGGCTTAATTTCCAAAATATACAAACAGTTCATACAACTCAACAACAAAAAAACAAACAACTCAATCAGGAAATGGGCAGAAGACCTAAACAGACATTTCTCCAAAGAAGACATACAGACGGCCAATAGGCACATGAAAAGATGCTCAATATCGTTAATTATTAGAGAAATGCGAATCAAAACTAACAAAGAGACACCATCACAGAATGCCCATCATTAAACAGTCTTCAAATAACAAATGCTGGATAGGGTGTGGAGAAAAAGGAACTCTCCTATACTGTTGGTGGGAATGTAAGTTGGTGTAGCCACTATGGAGAACAGTATGAAGGCTCCTCAAAAACTAAAAATAGAGTTGCCATATGATCCAGCAATCCTACTCCTGGCCATATATCTGGACAAAACTGTAATTCAAAAAATACACACACCTCAATTTCATAGCAGCACTATTTACAAGAGCCAAGACATGGAAACAACCTAAATGTCCACTGACAGATGAATGGATAAAGATGATGTGGTATATATATACAACTGAATATTACTCAGCCATCAAAAAGAATGAAATAATGCCATTTGCGCCTACATGGATGGACCTAGAGATTATCACACTAAGTAGAATAAGTCAGAAAGAGAAAGATAAATGCCATATAATATCACTTATATGTGGAATCTAAAGTATGACACAAATGAACTTATCTATGAAACAGAAACAGACTCACAGACATAGAGAACACACCTGTGATTGTGGGGGTGTGGTTTGGACTGGGAGTTTGGGGTGAGCAGATGCAAACTATTATATATAGAGTGGATAAACAACAAGGTCCTACTGTATAGCACAGGGAACTATATTCAATATCCTGTAATAAACCATCATGGAAAATAAAACCAAAAAGCTCTGCTCTATAAGCTCAAAAATCTAACCCTGAATTAAGCAAGGCCACTAGGAGCCACAGAGATGGAAGCATCATGTTGGTTTCTTACTGAAATGCTTGTTCTAAACCACTCTCTGGCACAAGTCCACTTGATTTTGATGAGGCACACTAGGAGGAAGAACCCTCTATTTATGGTTACAAAGGTGACAAAAATGTGTTCATTACATACAGGGTTTCTTTTATTTCTGAGGACCTATAGAATTATGCCTCTCTTCTCTCACCTCTGCTTCTCTTGAGCAGCAAGCTTTTTTTTTTTTTTAATTTTATTGAAGTATAGTTGATTTACAATGTTGTGTTAATTTCTTCTATATAGCAAAGTGACTCAGTTATACATACATACATATATATATATATATATATATATATATATATTCTTTTTCATATTCTTTTCCATTATGGTTTATCACAGGACACTGAATATAGTTCCCTGTCCTATACAGTATGACCTTGTTGTTTATCCATCCTGTATATAACAGTTTGCATCTGCTAACCCTAAACACCTGTTCCTTCCCTCCCCTACCCCCCCACCCCCTTGGCAACCACGAGTCTGTTCTCTATGTCTTTGAGTCTGTTTTTGTTTCGTAGGTATGTTGATGTGTATTGTACTTTAGATTCCACATATAAGTGATATCATATGATACTTATCTTTCCCTGAGTTACTTCGCTTAGTATGATAATCTCTAGGTCCATCCATGTAGGCACAAATGGCATTATTTCATTCTTTTTGATGGCTAAGTAATATTCCATTGTATACATGCACCACATCTTCTTTATCCATTCATCTGTCGATGGACATTTAGGTTGCTTCCATGTCTTGGCTATTTTAAATAGTGCTTCAAGCTCTTTCTTTTAACCTCATGGAAATGGACAGTTGTATAATGGTCCTATGTTTCTTTCCCTGTGGCTGCTGCAAAATTCATGGCATACTTCTAGCATGTATTTAAGTCCCCTAATGGCATGCAAGATATTTACAGACTTTACTTCTGACTCCACCTGATTTTAATTGTCCTTTCTCTTATTTTTATATTTTTTATTTTTTTGCCATTTTTGTATACAAAATTCTTAGATACTTTCAAGAAAATGGTGAGTTACAAATGAGTTAAACTGTAGAAGACAGGAGGAAAAAGGTTATCTTTTTCACCTGTTTCCCATCAGTGATCTGTTCAAGTGTATCTACCTAAATAATTTCTTAAAATTCTCTTATTATTATTTTTTCAGTGATAGCTACAAATAGCTGAGAAAGGTAGTACTTGTTCAGAAAATTCACACCTGAAGGATGTTCTAGAATTCTCCTTGATTAATATAATATGCATATATGTTTGCACCTATATATGTGTTTTTAGAGTAACCATCAAAATGAAGTAGGGTGTTCATACAGATTTCTGCACAGAACTAATTAAAATTTGGATTGTATTTCTCAATGATTTGCTTTTTCAGTTAGAAGTGTTTCAGATTTTTGCAACAATGAAGGTGTAAATGCTTACAGGCACATGGACTTTTCGAAACATCTCAGCTCCCTTATGTGCATCCATCAATGCAATGTCCTGGGGCGTGGAGATAATCACAGCTCCTAACCAAAAGAAAACAAAATGAGAGCAAAATGATGCTATCATATAATTCCTTATGGAAAGATTACTTCCAAAATTATGTTGATTACACACTAAAAGAGTCTACTATATTAACTATTTAGGTAATTTGTATAAATTTCACATACATGAATGGGAAAGACAAGGAAATGTCTACTTTGCTCTTGCCTATTTTTGACTCCTCACTCCTAAAATTACAACTGACCTGTGATTCAAGGTCACAGCTGTATCATCAGGACCTTCCTCCTTTTCAGACAATGTGCTACGTAAAAGATGCACAACGTAGGCTTCACTTTCAAGAACCTAACACCCTACTTGGGGAGACCCAAAAATTAAGGATTCAACACAATGTGCTAAGCATTTTAATAAAGGTAGGCCTAGAATGTTATGGAGTTATAAAACAAGAATAAAGGAAAGGTAACTAATTCAATCTAGGGGAGAGGATAGCGAAGGTGATAATGGATAGGGTCAGGAAGCAGGTGATAAGAAGAAATGGGGCAAAGTTTCCAAAAAGAAGTGGTAGCTAAGCTGAGTTCTAAAAGTTTGTATTACAGAAAACTCACTAGTGTAGAATACACTGTGGAGAATAGTCTGGTGGGGTAAAACTAGGAGCTGTGGCAGAAGCTCAGATGCAAAACAGTGGTAGCCTGAACTAAGGTAGCACTGAGAGTAGATGGAGATGGAGGCTTTCCTGGGTCTCCACTATTATCTCACAGAAACAAGATGGTTTTGAGAGTTTTGAGGGAAAGGGCAGTGCAATTTTTTCTGTAAGTGGAAACACCAGAGACCTGGTTGTGATTTGTAGACACTATGAATTTCTTAAGATTTGTGGTTTCTTCTAGATGATAAACTGGAAAAAATGAACATATCCCAGATCACCTGGATGACCACCATCTTATAACTATACACTGCCATGACATTTCAGCATCCAAACCATCAAATTGGCAGTTCTTTGTCACAGCTAAGGAGAACAGAGGTATAATTAACAATAAATAACTGATGGCACCAAGTGAAGAGCAAATGATACTATTAAAGAGTACTGTTGGAAGGGATAATTTGAAAAAGTTAAGAATAGAGGAAAGTGGAAGTGGAACCAAGTTCTCACAAAGCATGTAGCAATATAGGCACGCCAAACTCAGAAGAACTGTGCAATAACGTCTTTAACATTTTTTTAACATCTTTATTGGAGTATAATTGCTTTACAATGGTGTGTTACTTTCTGCTTTATAACAAAGTGAATCAGTTATACATATACACATATCCCCGTATCTCTTCCCTCTTGCATCTCCCTCCCTCCCACCGTCCCTAACCCACCCCTCTAGGTGGTCATGAAGCACCGAGCTGATCTCCCTGTGCTATGCGGCTGCTTCCCAAAACTGTAAAATCAATTTTACATTTGGTAGTGTATATATGTCCATGCCACTCTCTTTGTCCCAGCTTACCCTTCCCCCTCCCCATGTCCTCAAGTCCATTCTCTAGTAGGTCTGCATCTTTATTCCTGTCCTGCCCCTAGGTTCTTTGTGACCATCATTTTTTTTTTTAGATTCCATATATATGTATTAGCATATGGTATTTGTTTTTCTCTTTCTGACTTACTTCACTCTGTATGACAGACTCTAGGTCCATCCACCTCACTACAAATAACTCAATTTCGTTTCTTTTTATGGCTGAGTAATATTCCATTGTATATGTGTCACATCTTCTCTATCCATTCATCTGTCAATGGACACTTAGGTTATTTCCATGTCCTGGCTATTGTAAACAGTGTTGCAATGAACATCGTGGTACATGACTCTTTTTGAATTATGGTTTTCTCAGGGTATATGCCAGTAGTGGGATTGCTAGGTCATATGGTAGTTCTATTTTTAGTTTTTTAAGGAACCTCCATACTGTTCTCCATAGTGGCTGTATCAATTTACATTCCCACCAACAGTGGTGCAATAGTATTTAGCTACAAATTCATCTTGCGATTGGTATTTTCATTTCAGCAAAAACTTCATCTTTCATATTAATATCATTAATTTGAATTTTGTTCATCTTGTAAGTTTGCTTGAATTTAATTTGTTATTTTTTTAGTTTTAAAAAATTATATAAGAGCTATAAGTTTAAGGAATCTGTGTTTTGCTTAAAGTAGTCTAATAATAAAAATAAGTCTATTTGGGGCATGGGGCAGATTATTTTCCTTTAGAAAGAGGGTCTCTTCATTAGTCAAGTTTCAGAAACACTAGCTTTGGAATTCAAACAGAATCAGTATTCAAATTTTTATTCCATAGCTGACTACTGGTGTGACTAGGGTAATAACTTAATCTCTTTGAGATTCAGTTTCTTCATCTACAAAATGGCATAGTAATACTTAGGTCACAGCATGCAATTTAATGAACTAATGTACATAAGATACTTGACATGATGCCACAGGTAAACATTCAATAAATGGTAGCTGTGTTGGTAACACCATTTTTGTTATCTTTAATATTGTTATTAATAAAAATGTCATAGAAGTTGCTAGCAAGGTCATTTTCATATTTGCCATCAGGCAGCTCATCCTACTTTTCAATTTGTTCCATGGATCACTACATTCTTCTATTTTGATTTATTCTTCCAAAAAAACCAAAAATGAATTAACATTTCTCTTTTCCCTCTTTTAAAGATTAATGGAAATAACCTCTCTGCAAAAGTGTACTCAACTCTACTCTTTACAACCAATGTATCTCCATAAATTGCCACCTTCTAGATTCTGTTATAATATCCAGGCATTTGGAGAGGAACTAACTCCAGTTCTGCCCCCATCCACCTGTGTGACTAACGTTGGGCAAATAACTCAGAATCACTCAGGTCTCAGTTTCCTTAGCTGTAAAATTAATGCAAGGACAGACAGTCTTCAAGGTCTCAGCTAGCTCTCTGATTATATGATTTAGCATTCCCTCTTAACTATAGTTTCCAAAACCACCCCTGTTCAACCTGACTGCCTCAGTAATCCTATTTAAGCAAATGTGAAAGACTACCTCCTCCAAAAATTATGGCCCCTCAGTCTCAGAGCCATTCTCTTCACATGGAAGCAAAACCTCCTTGGCTATTTCCTCCAAATTCTCTCATAGCTATATACTAGTATGCAGGGAGTTTTCTATTGCATTAGCCCTAAAAAGTACCTTTAGCTTTCATATAATATAAACACTTTTTGTTTGACACACCCTTTGTCCACTATTTGTATTACCACTGCACAATATAGTTTCATGGTTGGTTATGATTTTTCTCAATTTTTTATCAAACAAAAGTAATAACACAATGCTGTGCACAAAACAGGCACTTAACAAAGGATCAGGGTTTAAATAATCTTCCTATATTTTCAAATCATTCTAGACTACAACTGTATGAACTCTTAGTTCGTAACTCCTTGAACCAGGATTCTGGATTTGTTGACTATCTTAATGTACTATACAACCTTGAATAGCTCACTAAATCTCAACACATCTCAATTAACTCCTCTATAAAATGACTCTATTTCCATTGGTCCTATTTAATTTTAAAGAGCTGTCTCATTTTTCAAAAAGAATGTAAAACTGTTACTGAAATGCTTGGTGACATTATTTTATAGCTATAAGACCCCAGAAAGAGGGATTAAAGTGACTTGCTTTCCTCTGTACTTAACCCTAACACAGTATCACAAATAAGCATCTATGCCATCTGAGTTTCTTTGTGATCTAAATAGCACCACTCATAGTAACTTTTTGACAAGGACAACAATCATCTTCCATATCCCATCAAATGCTCACAAAACATGTAAACATTCCATTGGAACTACCAGCCACATTTATAGAAGACTTTTGTAAGTTTTTTTTTTCTGAAATATATGTTCTTAGCTAATGATTAAGTCCTTAATCACAACGCAGTCGGTCTTTAGAATGCTCTTCTGAGAAAAAAATTTCTAGCCCTTGTTAAAAAATACAAAAACATAACTGGCTCATGCATAAATCACACCTCTTTTGCTATACCAAATTTTAGTACATCATACAAGTAACCATTTCAGACACCCCTAAAGTGACCTCTGGAATTTATAAAGAAATAAAGCAAACAAAAGACAAACAAGGGCTTCCCTGGTGGCGCAGTGGTTGAGAGTCCGCCTGCCGACGCAAGGGACAGGGGTTCGTGCCCCGGTCCGGGAAGATCCCACATGCCACGGAGCGGCTGGGCCCGTGAGCCATGGCCATTGAGCCTGCGCGTCCAGAGCCTGTGCTCCACAACGGGAGAGGCCACAACACTGAGAGGTCCGCATATCGCAAAAACAAACAAACAAAAAACAAACAAAAAAAAGACAAAACCTCCAGTAAAATTAATCATTAGCCAATCTGTGCATCACAACACATATTTTTAAATATTAAAGGAATTATGTCGATTTTTTTTCTTGTTAATATATCTCAACTTAAAACATGGTCTCCATATCTGATATTACAGTTTATCTCTATAGTTCTTGCCTTCTACTTAATAAATTTTAATTTTTCTCAGGGACCCTGGAACATGAACCAATATGAACTAGCCTAGATTTTCCCCTTTATACCATCACTGATATGTCACTTCAGTTTGTGATGGTTTGTTAGAAAACTTGTGCTCCCTCTACTGACCATAAGGAATGCTAATAGCAACAAAGAGAATGTTTAGTTTGCAATAAATGGAATTACTTTCTGGGGGTAAAAACACAGTATCATAAAACACCCATCTCAAGAATCCCATGGAGAATTTTCTATCCATTGTCTAGGGTAAATGTCTAAGTCCAAATAATTAAATAATATTGTTTAAATGTTATTTTCCAAGTTGTAATCTGTGTAAGGGCTTTTTATCAGCTGAGATTTACTGTAAGAGGTTAGGTGTCTATCGGATTCTGGCAAATATGTAAACATCCTAAAAAATAATTATTTTGAGTATTGTCTTAATTGCCAATTCTCTTGAGTATTGAGAGGAAAAAACTGCATATCTGGATTTGGGTCA